CATTTGGGCAGGTGTCCCACATGGTGGTGGTAGCTGTGTGCCTTGGAGTCTATTCTGACTCATAGCAACCCTGTGTAGGGTTTCCGAGGCTATGAATCTTTATGGGAGCAGAAATCTTCATCTTTCCCACGGAGTGGCTGGTAGATTCAAACTGTTGACCTTATGATTAGCAGCCCAACTCATATCCCATTAGGCTAACCATGGTTCCTCAGGCCATTTCAAAAAAAAAACAAAAACAAAAAAATAACAAGCCTTAATGCTGTGGAGTCAATTTCAACCCATATCAACACTAAAGGACAAAGTAAATAGCCCCATAGGATTTTCAAGACTGAAATCGCTACGGAAGCAGACTGCCACATTGTGCTCCCTCTGAGCAGCTGGTGGGGTCGAACCATCGACCTCACAGTTTGTAGCAAGCGCTCAACCACTGCACCACCAGGCATCCTTCAGTTTATAAAAAAGCTCGCAAGTCACTTGACCGTCATCACTGGAAGACTAGAAGCAGGTTTGGAGGTGGTGCCATTTTCCCGCCGGAAAGCTGTGCATTCTGTGTGGAACTTTAAGCATCTCCCCTAAACTAGAATTTCCTGCTGCAAGGTTGGGGAAGGGGCTACTAAGCAGACCACTTGTCACTGTGGGAAGTGCCGTAGAGAAGATTGAGGGGCACGTGTTCCATGACAGGACTGTTCTCCCTGCCACACACACACACACACACACACACACACACACCACAATCTAGGGGGGTGCACAGGGTGGAGGACAGAAGGAGGAGGTTCTATTCCATACACCAGGATCTCCCAGGATGCACTCTGGACTGCCAACCCTTGGAAATGTCAGGGAAGAAAAAGTGGTTTTTGGGTAAAGAAATGTGTGAAAGCTGGCTCTCTGCACCTCCTTCAAGAAGGCCACAGTGCACCCTGCCTGCTAGCAGTTTGCTTCATCCTTTTTCAGTCTAATACCTGCCACAGAGTATAAAACAGGGAGCTAGACAGCCAGACTTTGGACTCTGTCTCAAGATCAAATTCTGCTCTGTGTGACCTTGGGCAAGTTACTTAACCTCTCTGGGCTAAGTCTCCTCAGCTATAAAATGTGGACAGGAGTTACTTCATGGGGTAGCCCACAAACCCTCTGCTGTGTGTCCTGAGAAGCCCCTTTCTGACTGGGGCTACTTACTCCAAACTTTTTATCCCCCGATGCCTGAAGACCCCAGGGCGAAGGCTCCAAGAGACAGGTTGCTAGGGTGCACTGCCTGGCTGCGCAGACATCTATTTTTAGAGGGCACCGTGTGGTCAGCTGGGGAGATAGGGCCAGCCAGTCAGAGGGGACAATAGAGACTGTAGGACCCATAATGGCTCATTGTTCCTGCTGTGGTCTGGGGCCATGCTGGGCCCTGCAGATGACTGGGGGCCCCACCTGGGGGTGGCTCATTACTGAATGATCTGTGGGTTTTTCCATTGCCTGCTCAGAACACTGAGAGGAGGAGGAAACGGAGAGGATGGGTGGTGGGTGGGTGTCCTGCTGGCATCCTGTGAGTGATCTCACTCGCCCGTGTCACAGTGGGCGATGTGGCAGGAGGCTGGGAGATGCGCCCCGGGTGGGCATTCCACGTCCCAGACTCTTTCAGATGCTGGCTTTAGGAATCCACAAAGTGAGGACTAGGCTTCCCCTGTGTCCCATGATCTGGGATGGAACCTAGACCCTGTTCTGAAGATGGCACCTAAAACTGGCTGCCTGGCCTTCTCACTATAGGACTTGGAAGCTGCCCTTGCCCCCGGAGCACCCAGAGTAGCTTAAGGCCTCTTGCTCACTATTGCCACTGTATCAAGCCTAGGCCATATTTTACTACAGTATCCATCCCACTCCAGTGTCTTATATATTCATTTCTGTAGCGTCCCTCCCTCCCCCAAATGACCAACAGGAACTGACATTTACAACTCCTATCAGTTAACATCACAGCGGCCCCATGTATGTCAGAGTAAGACTTTGATCCATAGAGATTTCAGCGACTGTGACTTTCAGATACCTCACCAGATCTTCTGAGGTATCTCCGGGGGCATTCAAACAGACAGCTTCTCAGTAGTTGAATGTTTCTCTGTTTGCACCACGAGGGACTCTCAATACTAAAAAAGGCAAACCCAGTGCCCTCAAGTCTATTCTGACTCCCAACATCCCTGTAAGAGAACATAGAAATGCCCCGTGGGGTTTCCCAAGTAATTTTTACAGAAGCACACTGCCATATTTTTCTAGCATGGAGCGGCTCCTGGGTTCAAACCACCAAACTTATGAATAGCATCTGGGTGCTTAACTATGTGCCATCAGGGTTTCTTTGGTGGTGTGCTGTGGAGTGGGTTCCAACTCATCCAACTCACAGTGACCCCGTGTAGAGTTTCTGAGACTGGAAATCTTTACAGGAGCAGAAAGCCTCATCTTTCTCCCATGGAATGACTGGTAGTTTCGAACTGCTGACTTTGAGGTTAGCAGCCCAACTTCAACTTGTAGGGTTCCTTTGTGTTGTTGTTGTTAAGGACTGTTGAGTCAATTCCGACCCATAGCAACCCTGTAAAGGGTTTCCAAGGAGCAGCTCATGAGTTTGCACTGATGATGTTGTGGTTAAAACGGACTTTACAATCCTATGCATTAGCCCTCAGCACCACACCAGGTTCCTTTAGGGACTCCAGTAATGGGCATTTAATAAATGTTGACTGGGTAAAATGGAATGGGTTTGACTTTTTGTAGGTAAGATGGAGCAGGAGTGGGATAGTTCCCCTGACTTGTGTGTACCGTTCTCCCCACATTCTTCTGCTTCCTAGTTGTGGGTTCCTGAGAAACGAGTCACTGTCGTTCGACTCTGACTCATGGTGACTACAGTCACAGTAGAACAGTGTCCTCTGTAGGGTTTTTGTTGTTGTTGTTGTCAGGTGCCATCGAGTTGGAACCGACTCATAGCGACCCCATGCACAGCAGAACGAAACAATGCTCGATCCTGGGCCAACCTCACCACCGCTGCCACCCCCAAGTCCATCAATGATGCCACCTGGCCGATCCATCTCGTTGGAGGTCTTCCTCTTTTTCTCTGACCCTCCACCCTACCCAGCATGACATCCTTCTCCAACGATTGTTTCCTCCGGACTACATGTCCAAAGTAGGAGAGACGAAGCTTAGCCATCCTGGCCTCCAAGGAGCACTCTGGCTGCACTTCTTCCAAAACAGATCTATTGGTTCTTTTGGCAGTCCATGGCACCCTCAGTATTCTCCTCCAACACCACAACTCAAAGGCATCAATTCTTCTACGATCCTCTTTATTCACTGTCCAGCTTTCACACCCATATGAGGCTATTGAAAACACAATGGCCTGGGTCAGGCGCACCCTAGTCCTCAAGCTGATATCTCTGCTCTTCAATACTTTAGTAGCTGATTTTTTAGAAATAGATCACCCGGCCTGAGGTACCCCTAGGAGAACTTGAACCTCTTACTTTTCAGGTAGCAGCCGAGTTTGTTAGCTGTTGGTTAACTGGGACCCTGAGTGGCTGACTTGGTTTCCCTGGGTCCAGGTATCACTGTCCATTGGCTCTGGTGAGGAAGAGGTGGGGATGGTTCAGCATCTGGACGGGAGGTCACAGGTGTCAGGGGCCTCAGGAGAAGAGCCAGGCCAGGGGCCCATCACAGAGAGAAGCACTCAAGTAAAATGAGCGGTCTGGCTCCTCAGAAACTTCTAGAGCCTCTGTGGGATGCAGTTTCCGTGGGGTGGATAGAAACTGGAGGCAGACATGGGACGAAGGAAGAGTGGATGGAAGTGTGATGGATTGAGAAGGAATCATTGCCATTCTCCCGAGAAGTTGAATGGAATTGTTGATAAGTACCATTGAGTCGGTGCCCACTCATAGTGACCCTGAACAGGACATCCATGGAGCAGTTGGTGGATTTGAACCACTGACCTTCGGATTAGTCGTCTAGTACTTATCCTAAAATGGAATTGGTAGGTGTGAATTTGGTCCCTGAGTGAGGTGTGGTCTTGAAAGAATGTGGAGCTGTTAGGGGCTGCTACAGAGGAACCCGGCTGAGTGACCCACCTGGAGCTCACAGGCTGGAGAACTGACCAGCAAAGCTAAACCTGACCTTCTGAGGAGGGCAGGCAGAAGAGAGCCTGGGTGTGCTATCAGTTAGGAGTCTTCCGGTAAGAAGCGAGTTAACTGAAAATGACTTTAATCTGAAGGATATTTGCTGGGCTACGTAACTGAAAACCCCAGGTGGTAGATGCCATCACCAAGACTTCTTTTCCACCTCTGGGCTGGTTGTATTTTCAAATAGGCCCCTGCTTCATGGTCACAAAATGGCTGCTGCAGATCCAGCCCTCCCAGCCTGAATAAATCAAGTGTAATGTACTTACAAAAGCCAAAAGTGAGCCTGGGGCTATCTCTAATGGGCAGAACCCACTATGTGTGCCAGTCCCTGAGCCACTCATTGTAGATGGGGAGGTGAGACATTCTGGTGGGCTTTGGCCCAGGAAGCTTGGAGATGAGATCAGTGTCAATAGATCTATTGGACTGAAGGTGGCAGTGAGGGGGATTCCCAAAGGAAATAGGGGTTGTTCTTGAAAATAAGAAATGAATTCGAGGCAGTTCCAAACGAGCAAATGCCCATCACAGGTATGAATGGATTCCTGTGGGCCAGGCAAGGCTAGGTAGGGTAGGCCATCAAGGAAGTACATCCGGATCGTGTTGGATTGTCTAGATGGACTCTTGTGCAGAGAGGGCTCCTGGGCTGGTGCTTTCCTGAGTTCTGTACAGTTTCCTGTCCTCCCTTCCCTCATTCTGGCAGTGGTCTAGCTACAAGAGAGCTCTCCACTCTAAACCCAAGACCTCATGGTCCAATGAGAGGTGTACTCAGTGTCTTCTCAAGACCCAGCTGGAGAATGCTGGGTCTCCAAGAGATGCATGTAGCCTTTCCAGTACTGCCAGTGTACCTGACAAGCTCCCTGTCTGTCCATCTTTCCTCAGGAGCAGGACATCGAGACTTTACATGGTACCATTCATGTCACACTGTGTGGGACCCCCAAGGGGAACCGGCCCGTCATCCTCACGTACCACGACATTGGCATGAACCGTAAGTTCCGAGGAGACATGCCCCTGGTCAGCAGGTTCTGTTGAGGGGTGGAGGTGGAAGGTGGGGGACAGGGAGACCCGCTGTTTGTCTTTTCCGGGAAGAACCTTGGTCACTGACTGAAAGAGGCTGAAACACAATGTGTCGGGGCTTGGAGCTGTCTGGGTGCCCACCCGGTGCCTATGAAAGTACAGTGTAAGGATTTTTAGGATATTCACACAATTGCACAACCACTACCATCAATTTTAGAACATAGTCCTCACTTCACACAGAAATCCTAACCCATGTAGCAATCCAACCCAACAACTTCCTGTTGTTAAGTGTTGTCGAGTTGGTTCCGACTCAGCAACTCTGTATAGGATTTCTGAGGAGTGGCTGGTGGGTTTGAACCGACGACCTTGTGGCTCACAGTCCAGTGTCTCTGTGGGCTCACTTATTCTAGACATTTCATATGTCTGGCTTCTTTCTTACTGTTTTCGAGGTTCATTTACCTGCATAGTTTCAGTCCTTCATCTCATTTGTTGTTGTTGTTGTTAAGTGCCGTCGAGTCGGGTCCGACCCATAGCGACCCTGTACAGGGTTTCCGAGGGTGTAAATCTTTACGGGAGTAGAAAGCCTTATCTTTCTCCCGCGGAGCGGCTGGTAGTTTCGAACCGCTGACCTTAAGGTTCGCAGCCCGATTCGTAACCACTACGCTACCAGAGCTCCTTACTGCCCAGTAATATCCCAGTATGGGGACGTGCCACACTGGATCCTTTTATCAGTTGATTGTTCCTTTTTATTTATTATTAACAAGGCTGGTATGAATGTTTGGACAGTGAATTCTTAAGGTGGCCTGGAAGGTTTTTTGTTTTTGCTTTTACCATTTTTCAGACATTGGGGATGAAATAAAAAGCAAAAATCTGTGTGCCACAGTTGAGTTGATTCTGACACACAGGGACTGTAGAACAAAGGGACCTGCTCCAAAGAGGTTCTAAGGCTGGGACTCTTCACAGAAGCAGACTACCACATTTTCCTCCTGCGGGGTGGCTGGTGGGTTCCAATACTGACCTCTTGGGTGGCAGCCAAGAGCTGAACTACTGGACCACAACCTGCTTAACCTACTGGCTCTTTTGTGCGATATGACCCTTCTTTGTGGCCCCAGTAATCTGTGAACTTGAGTAATGTAAACAGGATCAATAAACTGATTCGTACTTTTTCCCTATCGTTTATTAAAGCCTTGAGATTGAGGGTAATATCAGCCACTGAAAACCACCTCTCCATTGTTCTCACTTCTCCGCTTTGCTTCTTCCCCTGTCTCTCTTCCTTGAATCCATAATGTATCAATCCCCATGCTAGTTCCTTTGATAGACGCCTTCCTTCTTTGGGCTCTGACGAAACCACAGAGTTACATGTGGTGAGGTTACAGTCTTGTTTTAAGAGGAACATCCCTGGTTGTAGTAGGCTGATTAATAGTCAAAGGTCCCCAAGACCTCTGGGGCTTAACACATACACTTTTCTCTCACACAACCCTTCAACGGGATGTCAGGAGGGACATAATGTGTCAGTGGGAAGCTCCATTAGCCCCTGGTGTCCACAGGGAGAGGAAGACCTGGAGGATTGGATGACAGGCTCAGAAAGGATGACCAAAGACTGTTGGCCCAGCTGGCCACATAGCTGCACCCAGTTGCAGAGGTTGCTGGGAAATGGCATCCAGGAGGAAAAGAGAAGTGGCTTCTGGACCAGCCCATCTTTGCCTCAAACCATTAACCATTTGTCATTGCCTCCAACTCACGCTGACCCAACATGTGTCAGAACAGAGCTATGTTCTGTAAGGTTTCCAGCAGCGGTGATCTTTCTGAATAGATCACTGGCTCTTCATCTGAGGAACCCCTGGGTGAACTGGAAGCACCATCCTTCTGGTTAACAGCCAAGCACATTAACAGTTTGCACCCAGGGACTCTTTTAGGATGACCTCCCTCTTAAGAATACCTCTCAAGCTCTTAGCAATTAAGAGACTCTAAAGAGTACTTGGAAACCTGCTGCTGTGTGGCTCTGTGGACTAATGCAGTGTACTGCAAAGCCACTTTGAACTGTAAGGTCAATGGTTCAAGTTCACCAGTCACTCCTCAGAAACCCTATATAGGGTTGCTATGAGTCGGCACCGACTTGATGGCACTTCACAACAACAATAGCAAAGATCACTTAAGAAGCGGTTGTATCAACTGGGTGTCTCCTTGATTGTAAATTACCAGGGTTCTGGCCAGGATTCCAGATTGCAAGAGAAAGAGGAGGGTCCATATTGATAGGAACAGCAGTGAGCCCCTTGTGGCATCTAGCGGGAGTGTGAGGCCTGTTCTGCATGTGAAGAGTTTCTGTGCACCATCTCCACCTGATCACCCACTCTGTACCATGCCTTCTTCTATTTCATCGTCTGCAAAAGAGGAATACACAGTTTTCCCTGTAACTTCTTTTTCCTCCATTGAATGAGAGCAACACAAGGAAATGACTCTTTGAACCCCAGGTATCCGATGAAAGGATCACAGGTTGTTATAGTGGGTTCAGTGTTGGACTGCTAACCAAATGGTTGGTGGTTCAAGTCTACCAGTTGCTCTGAGGGAGAAAGATGAATCTGTCTGTTCCCCTAAAGAGTTACAGTCTCGGAAACCCCGTGTAGGGTCACTAAAAGTTGGGATGGACTCAGTGGCAGTGATACTGGTTTTAACTATGTGCTCTCCTCTTGACTCCTCATTCAGACAAAACCTGCTACAACCCCCTCTTCAACTCTGAAGACATGCAGGAGATCACCCAACACTTTGCTGTCTGTCACGTGGATGCCCCCGGCCAGCAGGACGGCGCTGCCTCCTTCCCCATGGGGTAGGAGGGGACCCTGAGTCCCGTGAATTAGAGGGGCAACCCAGCAGTGTGGGGGCACTAGGCTGGCTTTTTAAAACGTGTGATAGAAAGATTTGCAACAAAGCATTATGGGATTTTTCACACGGACAATTCAGGGGTGTTAGCTTCTTTACGTTGTATGCCTGTCACCACTGTCTGTTCTGTCAGCTACCTGCCAGGCTGTCAGCTTCCTGTGTCATGGTGCAGGGTAGAATTGAGCTCCACGGGGTTTTCTAGGCTGTCACCTGACAGCCAGGATGGCCAGGCCTTCCTTCCGTGGATTAAAACTGCCAGCTTTTTTGTTAGCTGCTGAGGACAAACTTCACCACCCAGGGACGTCAGTCAGTTCATGGTTTTGCTAAGAATAAAAGAAGGAGAATTAGCGATGGGAAGGGGGTGGAGTATATTCACCCAGAGGTGTGGGAGATCCAATGAGGGCCCAAAGGCAAACTAGACTGGGGAGGTGGGTGCCCATGTGGGGTTGTTACACAATCTCTCCCCCTTTAATCCATTTCTGTTTGGACTGCTTAGTCCATGGCTGGATTTTAGCTGACAGTATCTTCACATCTTCCCCAGATACGTGTATCCTTCCATGGATCAGCTGGCTGAAATGTTGCCTGGAGTTCTCCACCAGTTTGGGTAAGTATGAGAGGTGGATTCTTCCCCATTGATTTCTACCTGTTGGCTAAGAGTGAGGGTAGATGCCCCACCCATTGGTAAGAGTCAGGAATCAGCTCTGCTCTCCTCTGCCCCCTGGCTTCCTTTAACTAAGAGTGAGGGAGGGCTCTATGCCATTGGGTAAGAGTGAGGGTAGATGCCCCACCTGCTTGCTGGTAAGAGTCAGGAATCAGCTCTCCTCTCCTCTGCCCGCTGGCTTCCATTAACTAAGAGTGAGGGAGGGCTCTCCTCTATTGGGTACCAGTGAGGGTAGATGCCCCACCTGTTGGTAAGAGTGAGGGATGGACTTCCCTGCTTCCCCTGGGTGAGTGAGTGAGGGTTCACTTCTATCAGGTAAGAGTAAGGGATCGATGCTCCTACTGGCTGAGAATGATGGTTTTCCTTCCACTCTGTCCTGTGGCCTTTGTGTACATTGGACTTGGGAGGTTAGAGAGGTAAAGTAAACATGGGTACTGTTGTGAGCACAGTCTCTTGACTCCCATCTTCCTCCACTGACTTCAGCTTTTCTCCCTGAGAGAATCCATCCACCCCTCCGTCCCTCGGGTCCAGTTCCTGGGGACCTGACTTCAGCTTTTCTCCCTGAGAGAATCCATCCACCCCTCCGTCCCTCGGGTCCAGTTCCTGGGGACCTGACTTCTGCTTTTTGCCCTCACTCCCCCAGTGCTTGTTCCACTGATAGCTGAGCCCCGAGGATGGTAATAATGCCTCGTGGTTCCCTGTGCATCTTAGAATCCAACATAAGCTTCAGATGGATCAAGAGAACACTGGGAAGGGCCTCCCAGCTATGTTGAATGGACGCACGGGAGGGAAATCAGAAAAGAAGGCACGCCTCTCCAAGGTCATGGCCTGTCCCAGAACAAGATGCAGCTTGAGGCCTCGGAGGGTGTTGTGTGGCAGTGTGGGCCTGCTCGGTCTAGCTGACCCCCACCTTCAGGGCGGCCTCAGCAGACATAGGAAGAGAGGAGAAGATGAGGCTCCTCATAGACAGGAAGGGGAAGGGGTTAGGGTTAACCCTCCTTCCCTGGTGTTACCCAGGCTTTCCTTCTGCCTCCAGACTGAAGAGCGTCATCGGCATGGGAACTGGTGCTGGCGCCTACGCCCTAACCCGATTTGCTGTGAGTGTGTGGCTGTCTTACAAAACTTATAGACTAAATAACAAAACGAATTCAGGATTATGGAAGAAACTTGGGAATGCATCAAAAACCCAAATGGGAAAAAAAAAGAAATTATCCAGAGTTCCCTTTCCCCAGACATGCCCAATGTTGTGGTGCGTGATGTATACTGTGTGGTGTGTGCATGCACGTGTGTGGAATGGTCCTCATGCTCTGGAATGTTCTATGGCAGGCTATTCTTTGAAACAGTGCTTGGATTGTGCTTGTCTGGGGACTTTGGGACCCTAAGGGATTCTAAGCTTGAAACAGAGATGCAGTAGCAACAGGATCATTGTCACTGATTTCCTTGTGGTGCCAAGTCAAGTGCCGCGGGTTCTTTGTGTCCTTACTAAGCAAATTGCTTAACAATGGGAGGATACCAGTTTTGTTCAGCCTAGAGTCCTCAGCTGCTCCATCTCTCCATGTCCTCATCTCTGCCTCCATCTCTGGTGTTGCTGCTTCTCTGGATAGGGTCCTACATTCCACTCGTGCTCTTCTTCCTTGATGGTTCTAGGGTCCTCTGTTTCTGGAATGTAAGATTAACTGCTTCCCCCTTTTTGTTACAAAACTTCTAACCTTTACAGTTGTGACCATCACAATTAGTCATGATAACAAATACTCACTATTGAATAATAAGAATCTTACCCCCATCTCCTTTCACCAGATCCGTCTAGACAAGATGAAAACTATTCAATGGGGTTTCTACCTTCCCCGACACACTCTGAAAATAAACTCCCTCTTGAACACTTATAAGCCAGTCACTCTTTGTGCCTTTATAGCCCCCCATTTTAGGTAGCCAATGTCTAAGTTGCCTGCCCCTATCAACACTGTGTATAGAGGAGATAGGTTTGATCCTTGATGTGACGATTCCTTCCCTCTCAGTTAGTATTTTGAGCTACTACATCCCATAAGTGTAGGTCAAGTTCATCATTGTAGCAATGTATACTTCCTTCCTTTATCAAATTTCTTTATGTTCCTCTAGTTGAGTTCTGATCATCAAGCCATCGAAGCTAGGTCAAATGAGTACTATCTGCAAGTTTGGGCATTCTTGTGCATCTCCCCCCATTTCATATAGCTGGATACTTCACCTTCAGCTCTAGCCCCCCATGGCTAGGTCATGTGTATTCTATTTTGATATCTTTATGTCTATATTGTGGTTCCTGAGTGTGTGTGTCTATGTTATTTATATTAATCTTTATATGGAACCTGAGTGGCAAAGTTTCCACTAAATTAGTAACCTAAACGTTGATGGTTTGAACCCACCCAGTGGTATTCCAAAAGAAAGAGCCTGGCAGGCCATCTGCTTCCATTCACATTAGAGCCAAGAAAACAGTATGGAGTTGCTGTAAGTAGCAACAAAGACAACAATGTGTCTATTTGTATCTTTCTGCTAACTATGTGTGCTGTATGATTTGTGGAGTAGATGATGCATTGTACCCATTTGGCAGCTGGGGATGCTGAGGTGCAGCAAGGGGATGTGCAAAGCGCACACACTACCCCTGGCCAACTCTCTCCCTCTTGTGGGACCCAGTCCAATATCTGCTCAACTGGACGCCCAGTTTTTCATGGGTCATATTGAATCTTCTTTGGGGTAGGGGAGACTGGACAGCAACAGGCAGCTTTGCTCCCCCACACTGACCTTTTCTGGGTTCTCGAGTTTGGTTTCATTTGTAAAGCTCATGGTATTTCAGACTGCAGGGTTCTCTCTCTCACCTCGTGTCTTCATTGCAGCTGAACAACCCTGAAATGGTGGAAGGACTTGTCCTCATCAACGTGAATCCTTGTGCGGAAGGCTGGATGGATTGGGCTGCCTCCAAGGTGAGACTGGGGGCCAGGGCCAGGTGGGCAAGGAGGAGTCATCCTGCTTGAAGCAGCCTTGGAACTAAGAGACCTCTGTAACTCCAGCCTCCTGTATCCCTCCGCCCTCAGCAAAGAAAGCAAGCTTCCCTCCACTTTGCTTAGAGCAGATGTCTCCTTAGCCATTTGTCTGTTAGCCCTGGTGATACAGTGGTTAAGGACTCAGCTGCTAATCAAAAGGTCAGTGGTTCAAACCCACCAGCCGCTCCATAAAAGAAAGATGTGGCAGTCCCCTGTAAAGGTGACATCTGTGGAAACCCTCAGAGACATTTCTACTATCCTGTAGGATTGCTATGAGTCGGGATAAACTAAACTGTAATGAGGCTGGGTTTTATTGTCGAGAGAAGGTCCCTAGGAGGTGTGAATGGTTTGCGCTCAACTGCTAACCTGAAAATTGTAGGTTTAAACCCACCCGTGGTACCTGGCAATCTGCTTGTGTTAAAGATTACAGCCAAAAAAATCCTAATGGATAGTTCTGTTCCTATAGGGTCGCTCTGCATTGGAATTGACTTGAGGGTAACAGGGTCGGTGTTGGTTTGGCATGCTATACTTTGTCTACATTGCTACAATATATGCATTGTTGGTATTGTTAAGTGTCATCAAGTCGGTTCCAACTCATTGAGACCCTGTATAGTGTTTCTGAGGAATGGCTGGTGGGTTTGAACCTACCTGATGGTTAGCAGTCCAGTGTTTATCCCATAGCATCACACCAGGACTGCTCACTCCATTTTCACAAGAGCTCCAGGAGGTGGGAATTGATACAGAAAGGTGGAGACTGAGGCTTGGAGTGGTTGAGTGAAGTCTCCTTGGCGACACTGAGTCAGGCACTGGGAGACCTAGAACTTGAATGCAGGTTTCCTCGACTCCGTCTCTCCTTCAACTTCACCTCCGTGCCATGCTCACTGGCATCCCATTTGGGCAGGAGACAAGCTTCCATGCAGCTGGCAGCTGACACCTGCCTGGACTCTATGCCTGCTGAGGCTGGGGTAACAGAGGTGGACCAGACACCCCCTCCGAGGGGCTTCTGGGCAGGAGACAGACAGACCATGGTCTGGTGGAGAATCGCTGGAGCTGTGTCAGGAAGTTTGGGCCTGGCTGGTGCCCTGGGCTTCTTGTTTATCTTTTTAAAAATTCTGATTGTTTTTTTCATAAAGGCCCTAGTATTTGCCAAGGAGAAGGGGAAGGCCAGCCCAATGGAAACAGAACAAAGTTTTTCAAGCTGGGGTGTCCTGGCTTCTCATTCTGAAAGTGTGTTTTTGCCCAGTTTGGGGTGGCTGTTAGGGGAGAGGGGTGGGGGGTAAGGAGGAATTGAAGGCATCATGCCCCCATATCACCCTGCTCCCAGTCCTGGCCATTGCCATCTGGAATTTCTTTCTTGGATGTTCTAGAACATGGGAGCTCTGTCTCCTTGTCTAAGTGTCCTCAGGAGCCAAGCACCCTCCCTGAGTTTGGGGTTAGCTTTTCCCAGAAAAGGCAGTGACAGTTCTGCTATCCAGCTAGTGGGGGGACTTCACACTGGATCCCTCTGGTCAACCCCAGTCTTGGGGGAAAGATAACCTACTAAGTACCTACTAAGCTACTGGGACATGTGCCATCACCTCATGTAAACCTCACTGTGACTTGTGGCTCTGAACTTCCCGGCATCTGCGTTTAGAGACCAGAGACTGAGGTCCAGAGCTTGTACAGCCACCCCTGTGCCTCTCAGCTGGGCCTCCCAGACCCAGAGCCTCCCTCCTACCAGTTCCTGCCCAGTCAGTGCTGAAGGGGTCAGCATACACTTACGGAGCTCCTGCTGGATACCCAGCATTTATGGAGCTCCTATTGTATACCCAGCATTTCTGGTGCTCCCACTGGATACCTGGTATGTATGGAGTTACTCCTGGGTATGTAGTATTTATGGAGTGCCTGCTGTACCCTTGGCATTTCTGGAGCTCAGGAGCCGTCGTTGAGGAGAGATGAGAGGGGAACATCTCCAGAGAGCTCAGTATACTCAGAGTGAGGAAACTGGTAGCAGGGATGCCAGCCAAAGGGCGGTATGGGGGTTCCTGGGGACAAGATTCTGGGGTCCATACTAGGGAGCTCTGTGTGTTTAGAAGTGGGGTCTTTCCTCGCTGAATGCTGGGAATGAAGAGTCCTTAGGGTCTCTATTCAGCACATGTTTGCTGCACAGCCCTTAGCAGAGGCCTGGGAACCTGGGCCCTGCACTCAGGGCTTCCATGGAAGGAACGCTGAGGTCAGGCCATGCTGACCCAAGGGCAGTGGGGTTTTGCTGACTGTGTGCAGCTGCAGAGACACCTGTTTTTCCCCTCCTAGATCTCAGGATGGACCCACGCCCTGCCGGACATGGTGCTGTCCCACCTCTTTGGGAAGGTGAGTTCGGGGCTGGTGTGATGACATCCATGCTGAGTGAACCATTGCACAGGGCCGGGCATGGGGGCAGAGAGGACACAGTGGGTGAGCCATCCTCATGCCTAGCCCTTTAGCGTTGAACAGTTGTAAGAAGTTCTGGTAGCATAGTGAATTATGCATTGGGCTGCTAACCACGATGTCAGAAGGTCGAATCCACCAGATGAGTGAGGCTTTCTGCTCTTATAAAAATATAGAGCCTTGGAAGCCCTGTTCAGGGTCGCTGTAAGTCGGAATCGACTCAGCAGCATACAGCAGCAACAGCATTGAGGTCTAGCAGTTCTCAGCTCCTGTGGGTTTAGTGTTGGATTGCAAAACAATAGGTGGACCGTTCAAACCCACCAGCCACTCCACGGAAGAAAGATAAAGCTGTCTGCACCCATAAAGATTGACAGTCTCAGAAACCCTATGGGGCAGTTCTACTCTATCCTGTGGTCACTATGCATTGGAATGGACTTATCAGTCAGTGGTGGGATTGTTTGGCTTTTGATCTCGAGGTGTCCCTTAAACTACACACATTTAAAAACGTACAATTGGACACACTCTGACATGTATGCATACCCCTGGAACCATCACTTAAATCAAGATAATGAACAAATCCATCTCCCCAAAAGGTCTCCAGGTTGTTGTAGTCCCTCCCATACTCCCCCCCGTCTCCTCTGGGCTTTCTTCCATAACCGTAGATTAGCATGAGTTTCCTATGTGCAGGCATACCTCACTTTAGGACACTTGCCAGATGCTGCGTTTTTACAGATTTGCAGATAAAGGGACAAGCACGTGTATTGGTGCCATTTCCCCACCAGCGTGTGCTCGTCTCATGTCTTTGTGTCCCATTTGGGTCTGAATCACAATAATTCAAACATTTTCGGCATTCACTGTGTTGCTGGTCTGGAACTGCAGCCACAGCATCCACTAAGTCTGCCCCTACTCCATTTCCCAGCGTCTCATCCTTGGCATCTTTTCTGTGAGATTCACCCAGGTCCTTGATGTATCAGAAGTTCATTCTTTTTCACAGCTGAGTAGTATGCCATTGCTTGGATGCACCTTGATTTGTGTCTCCATTGTGCTGCTGGGCAATGGGTTGCTTCCGGTTCTGGGAACCTACAAATAAAGCCTGTAGCTAACCCGCCCAGGGGGCTTACTGTGTGCCAGGCTTTGTTCTGAAAGCTGTACTCTGAGAAAAACCTCATGGGGCCCATCCAGCAGCCCTAGCAGGAAGTGGTCAGTACTGCTTGCACCCCCAGTTTATGGATGATGAAACAGACCAGAGAGGTTAACTGACTTGGGTAAGGTCACCCAGCCAGGGATGGGTGGGGTTGGGATTTGACTTTAGCAAGGCTGGCTCCCAAGGCTCTTCTGATAGCAAACACTGTCCCTCTGTGCCCCCCCAGAGCTCGCTGGCTATAGGGGCTGCTGTTCTGCAGGCAGAATCAAGCCCCTTGCAGCCTGTTAGCTGGGTGTAGTCCAGTCCTCATGAGCTCTGGTCAGCCTGTCCCCTGACTTCACCTTTCACCTTTGAAATTCCAACCTGGGGCCCAAAGTCCTGGGAGGGAAGCCCAGTGGGCAGGCTCTGACCCCAGACCAGTGTCTGGACAAACTCTCAGGAGATCCTATACCACCGTCTGCACCTGCGTGGCAGAACATGGCAATCTGATGTCCAGGGAAGCTGATGTCCCCCTTCAGGCATGGCAGGGTGTGTCCTCTGGATTTGGTCCTCTGTCCTGTTTGTGCTGCATTTACTTCAGCTTCAGTGTGTCCCCTGAAACCAATAGGAATTTGTAAAAGCCAGCTCCTTAGAGGAGAGGTGTCATTATGTTAGAGGGAAACCTCAGGCTTGGTCAAGTGGAGGCTCAGCCAGTAAGAGGAAGACCTCCAATGAGATGGCTTGGCACAGTGGCAGCAGCATTGGGCTCAAGTGTAACAACAATTGTGAGTGTGGTACAGGACCAGGCTGTGGTTCCTTCTGTTGTGTGCAGGGTCTCTGTGAGTCACAACCGACTCAACGACACCTAACAACAACAGCAGGGATGTCTAGAGTAGCGTCAGAGTTTGGCCTGATTGTACCCCATCCTTGAAGACTGGCAGTCAGACAGTAGTGTCTGCCAATGTGTGGTGCCCCCACATAGCTACAATCATGCTTTGATCTGGAAGCCCAGCCCCACCCCCTGGATTATTTCGTCCTGATTTCTCATTTAATAGCCAGTTGCCTTCTGTGACTGAAGTGACCGCAGATTGTTGTAACCCCAGCCTACTTGGCACGGCCTTCCTGTGTACCCCTTCTCTCTTGCTCTTATCCCATGAAGCACATCAGGCCATCCTGTGAGCTCCCAAACCCCATTCAAGAGGAAGCAGAGAGGGTCAGGCTGTGCCCAACACCCTCGAGGTTCTGCTGTGTCTCCGTGAGGATGGTGATTGTTCTGCTGTTTAGAAACTTCTTGTCGCATGGGTTGGTTTTCTTTTATCAAGGATGAGGAACTTCTTCTCAACTCTGTCCACTAAAAAATCAAGTTAACTGTTTACAGAAGACTTGTGTGTGTAAAACCTCTGTAGTTCCCCAACCTGGTGAAGGAGGCACTGCCATCCCATTTTTTTTTTGTTTGATTGATTGCGGTAAATATTTAGATAAAACATTGCTATTTCCACAGGTTTTCACATGTGCAGTTCAGGGACATTGACTAAGCTCATCATATTCTACATCACCGTGACCTGTTTCTAGATTTTTCTATCACCCTTAATAGAGTCTCAGTGCCCCCAAACAATGACTCCCTCTCCACCCCCTGCTGTCCCTTTGTCCCCTGGGAATCACTAATGATCTTTCATGACACCTGGAGAAGAATTGTTGGCTCTTCTGCTAGTTCCGTGTTTAACTGTTTGTGGAACCTCCAAACTTTCCCCCAGAAGCTGTGTCAGTGCACAGTCCCAACAGGCATGAACAAGGCTTCCAGTTTCTCCACAATCTGAACAATTCTGTTGTTTCCCAGAATTGTAACCACCACCACCCTTTTCTAAGGTATCTAAGCACTGAACTGTGAACCCCAAGGTCAGCAGTTCAAACCTACCAGCTGTTCCTTGGAAATCTTATACATGGTCGCTGTGAGTAGGGACCAACTTGATGGCATTTAACAAAAACAGGGTTCACAGTGGTTAAGAGACTTACCCAAGGAAGAATTAATGACAGACCCAACCTTCCACTTCACATGGGTTGACTTGAAACCCAAATTCACTAAGTGAGCCCTTCTGAGTGTGTGCTCAGCTGTCTGCAGTCCTGCATGGTCTTCCTGGTGATTTCTGGCTGTAGGCTAGACATGCTGGTTTTCCCTTTGCACCTAAAGAAGGGAGAGACTGACCGGCCCAGGTGAGCGCTCCAGTGAAGATATTTCTCTCTTTACCTGCAGGAAGAAATGCAAAATAACGTGGAGGTGGTCCACACTTACCGCCATCATGTGGTGAACGACATGAACCCCACCAACTTGCACATGTTCATCAACACCTACAACAGGTACCTGCATTGCTTACCTACATGACTTTCACCTCTCGGGCTCCTTTGGGATGTGTGACACCTGGGACAAAGGAGGAAAAAGTTTTAAGTCAGCCAAAGATGCAGCCTCTGAATTTGAGCAAATCAATGAATAGGTATCTCATTCAGCGTCTCCTAGGGTCTTGAGTGTGTGACAAGGAGCCAAGCTCCTCTCCCAGCTCCCTGGGGATGTAATGACGCAGTCAGAGTGTCCATGGATAGGTGTGCTTCCACATAGCTGACCACAGTGCAGAGCCAGGTGTTAGCAGTGCCGAGAAAGCACAAAGCATGCTGGGAGGCTGGGAGGAGCCCAGGAAAGCTGCCAGGAGGCGTTCTCTCAACAATTACTAGTCCTTGTGTGGAGTTCAAAGGGCCCTGGTGGCTCAGTGAGTTAAGAGTTGAGCTGCTAGCTGCTAGCTGCAAGATGGGTGGTTCAAAACCACCAGCTGCTCCAGGGGAGAAAGATGAGGCTGTTTGCTCCTGTAAAGACTAACAGCCTTGGAAACCGTGTGGAGCGGTTCTACTCTGACTGGTCGGGTCGCTGTGAATCAGAGTTGACTTGATGCCATTAAGTATGTGGAGCTCAGCTATGGAAGGGGCAGTCACATCCACTGGTATCAGCCTAGGGCTCCAGAATCTTCCATGCGTTCACTCAGCCTGCTAAGCCAGCTTGGCCACACCCCCAGGAGGACACAGATCGACACTCTGATGAGTTTGTCTCCCCTCCAATGTTACCACCTTCACTTCATGAAGAGGAGCCCTGGTGGCGCCGTGGATGTTAACCAAAAGGCTGGTGGTTTGAACCCACCCCCCATCCCATGGGAGAGAGATATGGCAGTCTGTTTCCCTAAAGATTGTTACTGTTGCTAGGTGCAGTCAAGTCGGTTCTGACTCATAGAAACCCTGCATTGGGTTTCTGAGGACCTGCCACTTTGTGTTCAAACTGACCTTGTGGTCCAGTGCATTAACCAGCAGCACCATACCAGAACTCCTCCATAAAGACTCCGGTCTTGGAAACTCCATGGGGTGGTTCTACTCTTCTGCCACAATGCATCAGAGTTAACTAGAGGACAGCAGGTTTTCACTTCATACAGCCCAGTTGAGAAGGAAATGCAGTGTCTGTTTTCTACAGTTCTCACGACACCTAGATGTGGGAGAAACTCGTAGTTCACACGTAGCTAGGGGAACTGAGACTCAGGCTCAGACACTGAGAACTGTGGTAAAGCTGACTGTTAGCAAGTAGGTTGGGACACGGAGGAGACCAGCATCTACTATGCACAGAGAGCTTCAGTGTTCTGTCCAAGGTCACACAGCTAGTATGTAGTGTAGAGCACCACGAGCTTCCCATGCTGGGAGCCTGCCTGCAGGAAAAGAGGGGGCAAGGGGTGCTACCCTGGCCTGGGCCTGCTTACTCTGGACTTGTACAATGCACACCATTAGAGGGTTTGAAACAGGGCAGTAAAGGGACCAGTTGAGAGCTGTAAAGAGGTCATATAGAGGATTTGGGGTTGGAGAAGGGTAGGGAGTGGATCAGAGTGGAAGTCAGGAGGCCTTTTAGGAGGCTGGTCCATTTAGGGGACAATGGACAAGAGGTTGGGGCACCAGGGGGAAAAATGTCACATGAGCTCAAATAGTTTTGGGATGGAGGCAGTTGGCCAGAATGGCCAATGGCAGATCCCTTAGGCTTTGAAGGTGGGGCGGTGGATCGGAGTCTTCCCCCTGGGGGAGGGCTGCAGATGCTAACGATGTGTCTTGTTGCTGCAGCCGTCGGGACCTGGAGATCGAGCGGCCCATGCCGGGGACTCACACCGTCACTCTGCAGTGAGTCTGTTTGTTGGCCTCTGTTACTGGGGCTTATAGGGCCTCCTTCGTGTTTGTGGTGGGGCACGGCGTGTGTCCCACCCAGGGCTGAGCATCCCTGTCTGCTCGGTCTCCTCTCTGTGCTGGAGACTTTTCCTCCCAGGTGTCCCCATTTCCTAGGGTGGAGCCTGGGACTCAGCCACCTATGTCACGTGCCTACAGAGGCATAGGCTACAGGACCCACCCACCCTTGATGGCAAAGTGCTCCATCAAGTGAAGACAGGGTGCCCATGCTGTTTCTATTGGCACTTGTGCCATTCTCGATTACCAGCAAAGCCCTGCTCACCCTTCTTGGAAGAGAATGTGGCTTTAAAATAAAAATGTGTTACGGTAAAGAGATGCTTAATTCATAATAAAGTGTAAATGACTATTGATCATCTTATCCCAAGAGTAAAGCAGAGGATGGGGGCAGGATTCCCTAAAAAGAGCAAAGGATCCTGAAGAAACCAGAAATCAAATCAAATGGTTTTAGGTCTGAGAATATAAGCATCTTGGGAGAAGTATTAAACTAATCCTTTGTTCTTCTCTCCCTGCCCCCAGGTGCCCTGCTTTGTTGGTGGTAGGAGATGACTCTCCCGCCGTGGATGCTGTGGTAGGTAGAAATCAGAGAATCAGAGAAGGGTTCCACTGTCCCTGGTGGGGTCCTCCCATTCTCTCCGCTTTCTTTTTTTGGGCATAGAACATTTATGTGGCCCATGCGTGGCAAACACTTAGCTCTTGAAAAGAGACCAGAGAGTCAGAGGTTGGACTCTCCACAAAGGATTGGGAAAAGATGATACCAGAATACAGCGGGACTTTTGGGGGCCAGTTTTTCAAGCAGGGTGGCCTGTGGGTTTTAGAGTCTTTAAGTCTCTTTACAGTGTATCCTGTGTCTAGGGAGTAAGGTGATTCTGTATGAGAAAAACTGGACTGTGACCCACAAGGTCAGCGATTCGAGTGCACCAGCAGCTCTGTAGAAGAAAGTGGAGGCTTTCTGCTCCTGTAACAATCTAAAGCCTCAGAGAGCCTATACAGGGTCTCCATGAGTCAGAACTGACTCGACCACGCGAAACACCAACAGCATCCTTTGTTGCATGTTTCCTGGTGTTGCAATGGATTATGGGTTGGGCTGCTAACCCCAAGGTCAGCAATTCAAGCCCACCAGAGGCTCTGTGGGAAAGAGATGAAACTGTCTGTCTCTGTGAAGATTTGTAGCCTCGGAACCCCGTAAGGAGCACTGTCTGCTCTCTTCTGTAGGATCACTATGAGTAAAATCAATGGCGGTGGATTTTATTGCTGTTTGGGGTTTTTTAGACCTTGGCAGGCAGCTGGATCACTGTGGCCAAATCCCTCAGCCTCTCTGATCCTCAGATTTTTGTTCTAATAATGAACTTCCCACTTGACTCAGAGTGCTCTGGGGGGATTGAACAACAGAAACCAGTAAGGTGCTCTCTTGTCTGTTTAGGTTAACGATTAGTTCTGAGTGAAATTCAAAATGCCTTCTGCTGGAAAGAAAGCTAAAGGGACCTTCGTTTGTTGTCTCGATGTGGCTGCAGATGTTTGGTAGACCCCCATGAGATTAGTGCTGTGGTAGCATCTGACAGATGCTATGGAAACAGGTCAGGGAGGTCCTTGACCAGCCCCAGAGCTGAGGTGGTGTTGCAGGTTCTGTTCCCCATGGCCTGCCTCCATTGCGGCCAGTCACCTGCCTCAGATCTGCCTCCCTGTGCCTGGTACCAGATGGGGTATGAGTGGTGGGTGCAAGGTCAGGTTATGTGGGCGGGAAACTCAGCATCCAGGTCAACAGCTGCCTGAGGGGCTCGTGGTTGGGGGAAGTCATTTTTCAGAGGCTACTAAAGACAGCTGCTCTTTTTCTTGAATAGTTTACTGTGGCTTCCATGAACGTTTAAAAAGCCCACGTTTGCCACCCGGCAATTTAGACACATTTTGTTTCCTGACACCAGTTGGCATCCCCTCGATGTTACAGTGCTCTTCCCACCTCCTCCCCGGATCCTCTTTCCTGTTCATCCTTCTTTCTTGGCCCTTCCTGCTTCTGAGTTTTGTTTTGGGGTAAATGCTGCCCTTTTGGTCTCTTTGACTAATCTGAGGGGTACCCACTACAGCCATTTGGACTCATAGTGACCCCATTAGGGCAGAGTACAACTGCTCTTTAGGGTTTCTGACACTGTAAAACTTTCGGGGTGTTGACTGCTGGTGGATTTGAACTGCTGTCTTGTGGTTAGCCCCCCAGCAGTAACATACAGAGCCAGCAGGGCTCCTCCGAGGAGTACGGTCTGAAGGAATTCAAAGCCTCAAGGAAGATCCCTCTGCCTACAGCCCAGCCCTCCCCACCCATTCCTGCTAGGGCAGGAAACCTGGACTCCAAGGAGGTAGAGTGGGTACGGGGCAAGAAGTGGGCCCTTTGGGGCCTTTAAGAACTGTGTCTCCTTGAGGGGCTTGTAACTGAGACCTGAGATCAAGAATCTGGTGTTTGCTTAGTTAATAGCCCAAATCGTGCTGATGACCAAGTGTGGCGTTCCATCCCCTTACCCACCTGCCCACCTCCTTCCCCTTCTCTGCCCCCACCAAGGCAGGTGATGTCTGTAAAATGCCATATTGGCTTTGGGACAGAGGGCCTAGGCCCTCGCTTCTTCCTCTGGTGACTGTTAGCTCGATTGCTTGGCAACAGCCCCTCTGTCTCTTCGCCAGGCCCTTCATGCCAATCTGCTGGCTTGTTTATACAGCTGTGTTTGCCACTGACTTCAGGGCAGTGGGATTAGACAGGACTTTCAAACCCAGTTGGTGCCAGGTCGTCTAGCACCTGGAAGTGGGGTTTAGCAGGGCTTCCTGGCTCATTTCATCCCTTTATTCCCACCTGTAATATCATGGCAGTGATATCATGCTTCCTGTATTCCCACGTGGGACTGTGGATCAAAGTCTAGGATGCCACATGCAGTGGGCTGCAGAGTGGGCTTTTCAGATATTCATGAGGGAAAGGCATGGGCCGTCTTAATGAGCCATGAGTTATTAGTGGGCTAACCCTGTGGACATAATCGTGGGATGTATTCAGAGAGATACACTGCCCACATCAAGGGAGGTGAGGATTCTACTGTAGGCACTTGGAACCTGACAAGTTATGTATGAGTGTTCTGTCCAGTTCTGGAGGCTGTGTTTAAGAGAACCATTGCCAAGAGAAGCCGACTTAGTGAGTGAGATTTGATAAGGAGGAAGTTTCTGGAATCAGGGCTGTCGAGTCTGGAGAATCCTTAGCAGATGATTGAACAAGGCCACTCATGTAGCGGACAATTTGGAGTGCCTTCTAGTTGTCAGTTAAACTCTCTAAAACAGACAGTATTTCCATTTTACTGACAAAGGAACTGAGACTCTAATAAGGTGATTTGTCTAAGGCAGGGATGGGGAAGCAGTTTTCTGCCAAAATGTATATAACATCATTCACGGGCCATACAAAATTATCAACTTAAAAATTAGCCTGTTATATTTGGTAAAACTTTTAAGTAATGGCTGGAAATGCAGTTACCTTGACAGGATCAGACCAAATGATTTCACGGGCCTTATACAGCCGGTGGGGGTGCCTGTTCCTCACCCCTAATGTGATAGCTGGGAATGTGGTTGTCTTGGCAGATGGTTTCTGGTCTGAGATCACAGAGTTGCTGATAGGAGGGCTGGGATGTAAAGTCATATGTTAGATCCCAGAGCCCACACTCTTTCTTGTCTACCAAACCTCTGGGGTTTCCGAAAGTGGCAACAGAAGGCCAGGGGAGGGGGAAACTCGTGGCTTTGGTTCCATGTAGAAAATTTCTTTCCCTTCCCTTGAACAGGTGGAATGCAACTCCAAACTGGACCCCACGAAGACCACGCTCCTCAAGGTAAGGCACACACGGGGTACTCTGTATGTGTTCTGTCTTATGAACCCCATGTGTCCTGCAGAATTGAGTGTCTGGTTGAGACAAAGCCAGTGTTCACAAACCACAGACATAGTTATTTACTCACAAATATAAGGTGGGCGCTGGCTGGCGATCTGAGGCTGCCGAGATGAGAGGGGCCTTCTCGGGGACCCCAACGATCTTCAGACCACAGGGGAAAGGGTTGGTCTTAATCTAATCATGATGTTTTTATCAAAAACACAATGAGAGTTCCGTTGTCACTGTTGCTCTGCCTCAGTGCCTCCTTGTCCAGATTTCTCCCTTTTCAGGTTGCTGGTCGCTGGATTAGGGTCTATCAAAATCCAGTCTGACTGCATTTTAACGTGATGATGCAGGTCACAGGGCCTTGGTGAGACAGTACTGCAGACTCAGCTGCTCATTGCAAGGTCAGCAGTTCAAACCCACCAGCTGCTCCATGGGAGAAAGACGAGTCAGTCTGTTCCCATAAAGATGCCAGCCTCAGAAACTCTTTGGGGGCAGTCCTACTCCGTCTTACAGGGTTGCTCTGAGTCCACATTGACTCAACAGAGATTGGTTTGAGGTTTGGTTTGAGTTTTGGTCTATAGGTCACATTCACAGGGACTGGGAGCAGCAAGTCAACATATCTTTTTAGGGGACAGAATTCAACTCCCATGAAGGGCAAGTGACCTGTCCAAGGTCAGATTGCCAATGTAACGTTAAAACCAGCATGACCAGCCACGTCAGCCTAATTTCAGACCTCCACTCAACCTGCTGTTTAAGTTCCAGGGTCAGTCATTTATATTCCTGCTGGGCTGAGGGCTCAACCTCAGAATCCAGCCCCAGCCTTCTGCCTTCGCATCATCCTCAGTCCCATCTTCACCTTGGCCACCTGGGAGCTTGAACCTTATTTTCTATTCCTGAATAAAGAGTCTCACATGTGTTTGAAATATCTTTAATTCATGTGGGTTGATGGTTTAATAGTCATTTTGAAAGTTAGACTGTTTACAAAGCTGGTCAGAGGTCAAGTATGCCCAGTCTTCCCAGTCTAGCGGTTTCCTTGTGAGAGAATCTTTAGCAAAAGTGTGTGCAAAGGGCTCTGCATACAGTGCATCTGTTCGGACTAGGCAGACCCTGGTCAGAAGCAAGCACGTTCCTCACCTGTCTCCAGTCCAGGTTTTGCCTCTGTCCTGGGCTGTCCATCCATATACTGTTGTGGATGGATGAATTGTAGCTGCAGGGCGGGACATCTAAGCTAGCCATAATGATTGCAAGATGATTGCACAGTGAGACGCCATGATTGATGAGAATCACAGTAGCACCAGCCTTTCGAGGAAGGAGTGCGAGTTCCCTCCCCTGTAATATACCCAGCAGCCCCTCACTGCCTTAACAGGGCACCTCAGAGGGCAGAGCAGGGGTGAGCTAGGCCGTTTGGAACTGGTCTCTTCACCACTAACCAGCTCTTTCTCTTCTAGATGGCAGACTGTGGTGGTCTCCCGCAGATCTCCCAGGTGAGTCTCATCTTTTATCTTCATCCTCCAACACTTCCGCTCTTGGTCCAGTGCTTGTGCAGGCCCAGCGCACACTGGCGTCTGTTGACAGGCATGGGCAGGTGACTGTTTGTAGAAGTTCTTCAGCTAGGAGCACTCACCTGACTTCCCAGAAATCCCTGTGGAGTAGATGTCACACGTCTGTGGACACGTCTGAATGGACACAGGCTGGTCATTGTTGTTAAGTGACTTTGAGTTGGTTCTGACTCATATCGACCCTGTATGAAATGGCTGGTGGGTTTGAACCTCCGACGCTGTGGTTGGTAGCCCAGTGCTTGTTTATTCTACAATGCCACACAAGGACTCCATAGCCAACCCCAAAGACCATGTTCACTCTTTTGGCCCACGCAGTCCAACCGCAGAGCTAAGACCAAAGCAGAGGGGGAGTTGGAGGGGGTAATTGTAAAGGGCATGTATGTGTTCATGTAAACATACCGACAAATAACAGACTGCCCCCACCCCCCACCAACCAAAAAATACATTCACGTGTGGACTCTACTCCTATAATTTTACATCATTATAGCTATCCATTCTCTTGTGAATACTTGTTGTCTTTTTCACCAAACCCTAACCTACCTTTTTTTTCTTCTTCCAACCCTGAAAGGGGTTTTAGGAGTCTTCTAATCCCATGATTTCTCAACAGAGTAGAATTCAGGCGGTGTAGGAGAGGGTCTTTACTAACTTTGCCTCTACTACAGTCCTGGTGTGGCACTATGGGTTAATGTGTTGGACTGCAAAGTCGGCTTGAACCTCAAGGTTAGCGGTTCAAACCCACCAGCCCCTCCTTGGAAATCTTATACAGGGTCACTATGAGTCAGGACCAGCTCAACAGCACTTACCAACAAAAGAGGTATGGTCAGTCTCCCTGTGGACTCTGACCCTCCATGGGGTTCGGAGGGTCTTAGCTCGAAGAACTCCTGAGAGGGGATGATGGCTCAGAGGTAGAGCTGGGCTCAGTACAGTCTTAGCTGTTGGAGTGGCCCCAGCAGAAACCTGCTTATTACTGAAGTCCCCTGGGGGGGGGCGGGGAGCTTGGGTCTGAAGATGAGGCTGAATATCCCTGGGGCAGCCAGAGAGGGCAGTCATCTGCATCAGTGGATGCTGGTCCCAGATCTCCATGCAGGGTCCCTTAACCACTGCAGAGCTTTATTCTAGAACTCAGCTCACAATTAGAGTCATTTGTGGGATGCCGTGGCCCAGACTCATTACTGAAGGTGACCATGTGGTCATTAGTCACCTGGGCCTCCAGGACTAATGGAACTTTCCTTCTTTTCTTGCAGCCGGCCAAGCTTGCTGAGGCCTTCAAGTACTTTGTGCAGGGCATGGGCTATAGTAAGTATGGGGTTGACCAGCACGTACTGGGTGGACAGGCAGGCGCAGAAGTTGAAAATGTGATGATAGTGTGAGTCAGATTGGGGTGAGCCCGATTTAGCTCCTTGGCCAGTTCCAGCTGTTTGCAAACTGGACAGGGCAGGGGAAGAACCATTTAGGAGTGTTGGGAGTGGGATGTGTGGCCTAGAGGTTCGATACTCTTTTGTACCATCATGACCCCTATATTCTTCATTGTTGAATAGAAGTTGTGTTTCATACCAGGGATAGCTTTAAGTTCGGATGAGGGCTATCCCTCCAGGCACCAGGAAGTGCACAGATAGGCAATAAAATGGTGCAAAGGTTTTTAAGTTTGATGGCATGCTATCTTTAGAGACTAACAGTTGTGATGATGATGGTGATGATGATGATGGTGATGAAGATGGTGACGGTGGTGATTATGGGGAAGGTGGTGATGATGATGGTGATGAAGATGATGGTGGTGATGATGATGGTGATGATGATGGTGATGGTGGTGATTATGGGGAAGGTGGTGATGATGATGGTGATGAAGATGATGGTGATGAAGATGATGGTGATGATGATGATGGTGGTGATGATGATGGTGATGAAGATGATGGTGGTGATGATGATGGTGATGGTGGTGATTATGGGGAAGGTGGTGATGATGATGGTGATGATGACAGTGTTAATGATGGTGATGATGATGATGGTGGTGATGATGATGTTGATGTTGATGATGGTAATGGTAGGGGTCATAGTAATGGTGATGATGAAAAGTTGTTAATCAACTCATTTAACCCTCGTGATAATTTGGTGAGATTGTGTTCTCTTCATTTTAAAAATGAAGAAACTAAAGTGTCAGAGATTAAACGGGGACTAGAGTAAGTGGGGTATTGTGTTGTGGGTTAAAGCACTGGACCGCAAGATCTGTTTGAGCTGCAAGGTCGGCAGTTCAAACTCACCAGTTGCTCCTTGGAAACTCTATACAGTGTAGCTGTGAGTCAGAACCAACTTGATGGTGTTAACAACGAGAAGAGTGAGTCAGAGATTAAACAGGAACCAACTCGACGTCAAAACCAAATAACGGTAACAAGAGGAGTCCTGATGTGGGATAAAACACTGGACCCCAAGTTTGGTTTGAACCACAGTTAATTGGTTCAAACTCACCAGCCTCGCCTTGGAAATGCTATACAGACAGGGTCATTATGAGTTAGAACTGACTCAAAGGCATTTAACAACATAGCAGAGCTAGTGTTGGAAGAACTACAATCAGAATGCTCCTTAGAAGCCAGGATGGTCAGACTTCGTCTTTCATACTTCAGACATACTATCAGGAGGGATCGGTTCCTGAAGAAGGACATCATGCTTGGTAAAGTAGAGGGTCAGCGAAAAAGAAGGAGACCCCCCAACAAGATAGATTGTCACAGTGGCAGCAACAATGGACTTAAGCATAGCAGTAATTGAGGATGGCACAGGACTGGGCAGTGTTTCGGTCACTGTGGGTTAGAAATGACTCAACAGCACCTAGCTTCAATAAGAGTCAAAGAAGTCAGTAATTCCAGCCCGTCAGTCTCTCTGCAGGAATAAAGTGTGTCAGTCTCTTTCCATCAAAATGTACAGCCGTGAAAATCCTGTGGATCAGGTCTCCCCTGCCTGTACAGTCTCTGTGAGTCAGGAGCAACTTGGCAACAACGGGTTTGCCTTGGGTTTATGGGGGAATCTGGAGAAGGTCATTGTGAGCCCCAAGTGTCCTCGTGATCACAAGCCTAGATGTGGTGAAGTTGTGAGATTTGGGAAGAGAAGGGTAAGGAGTATGTGTGAACTTGCTGCTGCTTGCTTTAAGCTTAGTTTATTATTTAGTTAGACACACATACTGGGTTTTCTCAAATGCTGCCCCATGCCTAGGTCAGACCACATCCAGTTTCAAACTCAGTACTGAGTAGCAACCAGTCAAAAATGGCTCCAGGACAGACATCTCTGTTTGGGTTCTTCCTGCCTCCTTCTTGGAATTATAATCCATGCATCCATCTAAACTAGAGATCCTTTGAACTTCTAATGTCCTTTTATGTTTTGTCTTGTTTTTGTGTGTTTAAAATAGTAACGGGCATACTTGCTAAATTGACCATAGTCTTCAGATTGGCTGGGACCGGGGAAGAGGCTGCTTTCCTTACCTTGAGTGAGCGATTTGACCCTACGTTCCCTCTCCCAGCAGAGTCCGTCCCAGTCTGGGCCTCCTGTGTCTTTACTGCTTTCCCTTTGGGGCGAGTGTGCAGGCCAAGGCAGTAACCTGAGAAAGCCAGTGGCCAGCCTCATTGCAGGGCATATTTCTCTTGGACTTGCTAGCTTTTGCATTTCTGCTTTGAAATGTCTTGTGGGGAAAAAGGAAGTGAATGCCAGGCTTTGTTGTTTTCCCCCCTGCAAATCAGCTTCTCATTCCAGAATTCCAGAGCATACTGGGAAGATATCAAAGGTTCCAGAACCAACATTGCAGGGTTGGTGGTTCAAATCCACCAGTCACTCTGTGGGAAAAGGATGAGGTTTTCTGCTCCCATCGAGATTTATAGCCTCAAAAACCCTCTACGGGGTCGCTGTGAGTTGGAACCGACTTGACAGCATGTAACAACATAAGGATGAAAGTCATTGGATTGGGACTTTTTTTCAACTGCAGTATGACCTCACATTCATTTAAGTTGTATCTGCAAAGACCCTATTTCCAAATAATTTCACATTCTGAGGTTCCAAGTGGGTCTACACAGTTCAACCCAGTCCAGGTGAGGGCATCTTTTCCATCTCCATCCCACCTGTTACGGGCAAGAGCATTTTAAGTCTTGGGGAAGACCCTAAAGAATGAACAATGTCTTAAGAACTTCTCTAGAGACAGACAGACATTCACAGCTCTGCCATAGTCTGCTCTGTTCCCTGAGTTTTCTCAGCTGTCATGTGCCAAGCTTGCTCAGCTGACCTCAAATATCCTTCCCACTCCAATGGTCACTGACAGAAAGAAGTTCTGGTAATAGAGGGCTCAGTATGGCTGTCGCCTTGTATAGATGGGGGAAGTGCGGTTCTGAAAGACACACTTCCGAAGTCGCCCAGCCCTAGCTGATCTTCAGCCTTTGTGGGCTCCATCTTTGTGAATTCACCGACTTGGAGGAATTGATATATAACAGCAAAATCAATACCGGAGGCTCTTCCATCGTTCCTCGGGAACATGTATGAAACTGCCCAACACACACGTGCCCAGACAATGTGCTGTTCTGTTTCAGTTCCTGCCTTGTAAACTCATGTTCTTTCCTCGTTCTACCTGGTCCGCCACATGGATGGCATTTTGGCTGGCAATTTCACAGTTGAAAATGATCCCCCGGCATTGTGAGAACTCAGTTGCCACGGAGTGACCCCAGACGCAACAAGACTGCGATGTGCTTCACAGAAAACACAGGCAGACCTCGTTTCATTATGCATCATTTTGTTGTGTTGCGCAGACACTGAGTATGTTACAAAGGAAGGCTGGTGGCAAACCTTCGTCGAGCAAGTCTGTGGCTGCCGTATTCCCAACCATGTGCTCGGTGTGTGCCTCTGTATCACACGCTGGTCATTTGCACAAGATCTCAAACTTTTAGCCAAGAGTGGAAAATAACTTTTCTATGTACGAGGACACCAAAAAGAGTCACCTGATTGCTGTGGTCTGGATTGGAATTTACAATCGGAGGTTAAACAAGCTATGTTCAGGCATGAATTTGCTGTTGGTTGTAAACTCTGTTAACAAATCAACAATGTAGGTTAATAAGGCATCTCTCAACAGAAACACATGCAAGGTTCTGTACCGATGGGCTGATGGAAATGTCACGGCCCAAAACTCACAGGAACCGAACCCTGTATTTCCCTGGAGCAGTGGTTCCCTGGCCATTCAGTGTTTGCAGTGACTTTATAGAACACGCAGGTGCTAATTGCCAGCAAGTTGATTCTGACTCAATGTGACCCCAGGTGTGCATAGTAGAACTGCTCCACACCGCTCTCAAGGTTGTGGTCTCCCGAAGGAGACCTGCAGGCTTTACCTAGAAAATACATGTGGTGGATGAGCTTCGTTCAAGCATAAGGGATAGTACTGTGGTCATGAGTCCATGTTCGTGAATCAGCCGTATATAGTAAGTGAGGTGTCTTTAAACAGAAACATCTAGAACAAGCTTATGTTGATCGGTTCGTGAAAATGTTATGACTTGCAAAGCCCTAATCCTGTATGTCCCCTGGGAACAGTGGTTCAATATTTTCTGGCTTAGCGTTTGCAGTGACTTTATAGGACATGGGGGTGCCATCAAGTTGATTCTGACTCAATGTGACTCCAGGTGTGCATAGCAGAAGTGCTCCATAAGGTTTTTAAGCTGGGACTTTTCGGAAGCACATTGGCCAAGTATCAGGAGTAACGTGAATATCACTTGTGTTAAGCAAGTGATGGAATTGGTGTCACACTCAGATTTGGGGCTCACTTTCCATCTCTCTAGATAGACTCAGGGATGACAGGGAGTCCAGCGGCTCATGACTATGGGTCTGACACCAAGTGGCCATCATGGGTCACCTAGTATAGGTGACTAGGTCATTGTCTCCCATCCCCTAACCAGGTGTCTCTTTCTGCAGTGCCCTCCGCCAGCATGACCCGCCTGATGCGATCCCGCACCGCCTCTGGGTCCAGCGTTGCCTCCTTGGAGGGTGCCCGCAGCCGCTCCCACACCAGTGAGGGCACCCGCAGCCGCTCCCACACCAGCGAGGGTGCCCGCCTCGACATCACTCCCAGCTCTGGCACCACTGGGAACAGTGCCGGCCCCAAGTCCATGGAGGTGTCCTGCTAGGAGGCCCCAAGGCTTCCATCCCTGGACTCATATCTGTAGTGGCCCCTCCCTTCCAGCCCCTTCCTGCCCAGGCCTGCCACGCGGCACATAACTTGGCATTAATCCAAAGCTTATTTTCCAAGTATGAGCTCTGGTGATAACAAAGTTAGGTGGATTTGGGGTGAGCCGTGTTGATGCAGGCCAGGGGCAGGGGTGGACCAAAGAAGAAGAGACTGGAGACATCTCAGTGGCTCTATTTTTATTAACGGGTAGTCCCAGTGGCCTGATGACCACTCTCTTACCCTCCCCCAGAGACACCAAACTGCCAAAAACAAGAAGCATAGCATTCAACAATTGCCAAACCCAAGCACAGACTGACCTAGGTATCCTGCTGCAAACAGGCACTTTTGTCAGGCGGACAGGCCACCCACTTCCTGCTTCCTCGTCCCAACTGAAAAAACAAAACAACTGACCCTGTTTCTAGAAACAAAACCCCTGTGGGATTTGGGAAGGGGGAGAGCAGTAAGTTGTGCTTTTAACTGGGCAAAACAAGAAGGGAGGGAAAAAAGATGGGATTTATGTGAAGGCCGAAACACAGACCTGTGCTGTGAACATCAGGCAATCGGTTTTTTCAAGTTGTGCACACGGACACTTCTTAATGCCCAAGCATCTGGGCCTGTCTCTCTGCCCTCACGCTGAATGTACAACTAAAGTGAACAACATCAGATCACCTGGCTTAACAAAAGAGAAGGTCTCAGCAAACAGTTGGTGTCATGATTTGAAGACTGCTCTCTGCTCCCTCCTCCCTAGCCCCCTTCCTCCCACCCCAAAGGCATGTGTGCGTGATGATGTTCGTGTGTGGGGAAGATCATGTGGATTTGTAGATGCTCTCCCAGAAGTGGAGAAATAGCCTGCCAATCACATGTACAGGTTGTGTTGTTTCTACAGGTAGGGAAGGGGGGTGGGGGGCAGGTGGTATTTGGGGGTTACTACATGTGCAGTCGGGGGGGACGGGGGCGGGTGGTATTTGGGGGTTACTACATGTGCAGTTTCCTTTGGGTTGTGATGGAATCGGTGAAATTGTGGTTTCCAGTGGCTCCAACCCTAATGACCAGGATTCATGTGTGGTTGAGTCCAGTCCAGCCTCCAGTCTCTGACAACCGAATTTCTGGGCTGCCTGGCTGTTTTTTGAAAGGACTGGGAGTCTGGGGGGGGGAGTGGTGGCCATGAAGATGTAAGGATGTTGGAATATATGTTTTCCTCCCTTGCTCTGCCTTCCCGTCTTCCCTGTCCTGCTAATCTCCCTTCGCTGAATGGGGCGGCCCCGATGACTAAGCTAGGAATCCTGGGTGTAGCGGTCAAGTCCCTTTACCGCCTTTTGATTTTCATTCTGGCTAACTTTAGATTTTCTTACGTTTGATCAGAGTGAGTTGAATATTGTGACTCAGCCGCTGGGGTCTGGAAACTTCCAGGTCCCTTGAGTTGGTAGAAAAAAATAATCAAGCCTCCAGTGTGGCTTGAGAAGTAAGGACTCAGTTTACCTGCCACTGACACCGTGGGGTCAGGGACAAAGGCCAGGGTGGCTGAATCTAGACAGGAAGCTGTTGTGTACAGAGGACTTTCTTAATGAGATCTTTGTATTTATTTCCAGATCAATAAATTTGTAACTTTGCAGCAGTTTGTGTCTTCTTCTTTTATCTGAGAGATGGTGCAGGAGACCCTGGGGTTCAGGGACAGATCTTCCCACCAGGGGGATTGTCAATCCTTGATGCATGGGGTCCTGCAGTATTTTATCTCTTACATTTCTTTCAACTATTGTTGTTAACAAGATGCCATTGAGTCAGTACTGACTCATAGCGACCCTATGCACAACAGAACAAAACACTGCCCATCCTGTGCCAACCCCACAACTGGTGCTACGTTTGAACTCACTGATGGGTCAATCCATCTCATTGGGGGGCTTCTTTTTCTCCAACCCTACACTTTGACAAACATGATATTTTTGTCCAGGGACTGGTCCCTCTTGACAATATGTCTGAAACCATTACAGGTAACAAAATACAAACTAATCATTTCAAAATCGTTTCACTTCCCATGTCCCTTGCTTCTTTCTCATAAAATCTCAAGTTTCCCTGAGTCTGGAGCTCCTGAATCCGGCTCCTGAAGTCAACCACTAAACACATGCAAGAGCCGTGTCTGATTTTCTCAGACTTCACAGAGGAAAGAAAATCAAACAGAAAAATCAGCCCATGGCCGACTCCTATGAAGCAGATGTCGGACATGCCTCCACGTGTTCTGACACCAGCCCGCCCTCCCATGTCACTCTCTGCTTCACATGCAAGGGGTGATGGTCCATTGTAATGACCACACAGAGCTCACAACAATACTCATGATTATGGGGATCATTAGGGAAGTAAACAGGGTACAATTCAGGATCAAAACCAACTCAGGACACAGCAGTCCTCCAGTCAGGAACGCCTCTTGTCTGCCATACTGCAGGCATACCTCACTCTTGTCTTCAGCCTCTCAGCCATGTGGTCCCTTGACCGCTGCCTTGCTTGAGCACGTGTTACAAAGCTCTTTTAGCCAGCCTGTGAATTTCCAAAGGGCTCATTCTGCAAGCCAGTCTCCTGCCCATAGGCACTCAGCTTTACTCAGTCCATTGGCTCAGAGCCCAAAGCTGCTCTGTCTCTCCCTGCCACCGCCTCTGCCTTTGTCTGCCCTCACTGTTTCTCTAGGGAGGGATCTCATGTGTCACTCATGGGATCTTCCATCTCTGATTCTGAGATGGCTCCTTTTAAGCCTAGCTGGCAAAACTAACCAATCCTAGCTTTAGCATCCCGTATACCTTATTTGCATGGCCCCACCCAATCACTTAGTAGGAATTGGAAGACTTGGGCTAGAAAAGCCATATCAAGTAAATTCCAGGTGCCACAAATAATCATAACAAACCCTTGCTGTTGTTGGGTGTTGTCAGGCTGATTCTGACTCGTCGTGACCCCACGTGACAGCAGTGCTGCCCCAGCCCAGCATTGCGTTGTTGTTGTTGTTGTTGTTGTTAGTACTGTTGAGCCAATTCCGACTTATAGTGACCCTGTACAGGGTTTCCAAGGAGCAACTGGTGAGCTAGAACCACGGACCTTCTGGTTCAAACTGACCTCGTGGTCCAGTGCTATATCCCACAGTGCCACATCAGGACCAGGCTGGCACTTTTACGGGAGCATTTTGTCAGGTTTTTTCTACCACAAGCCACTAATGGGTTCAAACCACTGACCTTTCGGTTAACAGCCAAGCTCTGCTTGCCGTTGCTCCAGCAGGACTCCTCAGCCACACAGACTCACAGCTCTTGAGTGAATTCCAACTCTTAGTAACACTACGTAGGGTTTCTGAGACTAAGTCTTTATGGGAGCAGACAGCATCATCTTTCTCCCAAGGAGCAGCTGGTGAGCTTGAACCACCAACCTTACAGTTAGCAACCCAGTGCCTAACCCACAGCTCCACCAGGACTCCTGGGTTCCTCATAAAACCAAACTAAATTCACTGATATCAAGACAATTCTAAATCATAGGGACCCTGTATAGGGTTACCGAGGCTGTATATCTATTGGAGCAGAAAGCCTCATCTTTTTTCCCATAGAGTGACTGGTAGATTCGAACTGCTGATCTTGTGGTTGTTGTTGTTAAGTGCCGTGGAGTTGGTTCTGACTCATAGCAACCCTGTAACAGGGTTTCCAAGGCTCTAAATCGTTACAGGAGCAGAAAGCCTCATCTTTCTCCCATGGAACAGCTGGTAGTTTTGAAGTGCTGACCTTAAGGTTCGCAGCCCGATTCGTAACCACTACACTACCAGAGTTCCAGAGATCCTATGGTTAGCAGCCTTCAATTTGTAACCAGCTATACCACCAGGTCTCCTTATGCTGTTTTTGTTAAGCGCTGTTGAGTTGGTTCCAACTCATAGCGACCGTGTATAGGATTTCCAAGGAGCAGCTGGTGAGTTTGAACTACCAGCTTTGTGGTTCAAGCTAGCCTTGTGTCCAGTGATTTTCCTGTAGTACCATGCCAGACTCCAGCCCTCCTCATAGTGAAACATAATTACCAAGATGAAGAGTGATGGTGGAGTCAAACTGCTGACCTGTGGCTAACAGCCCAACTCATAAGCCACTATGCTACTAGGGCACTGTTGTTGTTGTTAGGTGCCATTGAGTCAGTGCTGACTCATAGCAACCTTATGCACAGCAGAATGAAACACTGCCTGACCCTGGGCCAACTTCATAATCATTGCCATGCTGGAGCCCATTGATACTGCCACTTGGCCAATCCATCTCACTGGGGTCTTCCTCTTTTTCTCTGACCCTCCACCTTACCAAACATGACCTCTTTCTCCAGCAACTGGTCCCTCCTGACAATATGTCTGAAGTATGAGAGACGAAGTTTGGACATCTTGGCCTCCAAGGAGCACTCTGGCTGCACTTCTTCCAACACAGATTTGCTGGTTCTATGGGCAGCCCATGGCACTTTCAATATTCTCCTTAAATTTCCATTATTGTTGTTGTTAATTTCCATTGATTTGATTCGGACTCACAGCAACTCTATATAGGGTTTCCGAGGGGTGGCTGATGAGTTTCAACTGTCAACTCGAGGTTTAAACCAACCTTTTGGTTGAGTGCTTATCCTACAGAGTTTGAGGCTAGTAAACACAAAGATGTATTTTTCCCATTCAAGTTCATGATCTCTGAATTCTTTCCACAGATTGCCTGAGAGCCTCTGTCCCCTTGGTTCAGAGACAAAGAGGAGGTGATTGTTGGGTTGTGTTTATTCAACAAAATGTGCCTTCTCTGTCTGATTAGGTGGGTGGTGGAGGAGCTAGCCTTGAGTTTAGTGGAATAGGGCCTGTCGCTGGGACCCACTGGGTCTGCCACAGTCAGCTCCCAAGGGAGTGAGCTGTTACAGGTGTTTGTACGCACCGGATGCTATTTAAAGACCACATGTTGACAATATGTTTTACCAGCTGGGGATCTATTT